TAACAGTGAACAGATAGAACATAGAATATAGAACAGTACAGCACAGTACAGGCCCTTCAGCCCACGATGTTGTGCCGACCTATTATTCTACCAAGATCAAGTTACCCTGCATACCCTACATTTTACTATCCTCCATGTGCCCTTCCAAGAGTTGCTTAAAAGTCTCTAAGTATCTGACTCCACTACCACTGCCGGCAGTGCATTCCACACGCCCACCACTCTCTGTTAAAAGAGCCTACCTCTGAAATCTCCCCTATACCTTCTTCCAATCACCTTAAAATTATGCCCCCTCATAATAGTCATTTCAGCCCTGGGAAAAAGTCTCTGACTATCCACTCTATCTATGCCTCTCATCATCTTGTACACTTCTATCAAGTCATTTCTCATCTTTCTTCGCTCCAATGAGAAAAACCCTAGCTCCCTCAACCTTTCCTCATAAGACCTGCCCTCCAGTCCAGGCAGCATCCTGTTAATCTCCTCTGCACTGTCTCTAAAGCTTCCACATCCTTCTTATAATGAGGTGACCAGAACTGAACACAATATTCCAAGTGTGGTCTCAGCAGGGTTTTACAGACCTGCAGCATAACCTCATGGCTCTTAAACTCAATGCCCTTGCCGATGAAAGCCAACACACCACACGCCTTCTTTACAACCCTACCAACTTAATTTGCAACTTTGAACGTGGAGCCCAAGATCCCTCTGTTTCACCACACTGCCAAGAATCCTGCCATTAACCCTGTATTCTGCATTCAAATTCGACCTTCCAAAATTAATCACTTCACACTTTTCTGGGTTAAATTCCATCTGCCACTTCTTTGCCCAGCTCTGTATGCTGTCAATGTCCCGTGCAACCTACAACAGCCCTCCACACTGTCCACAATTCCACCAACCTTTGTGTCATCGGCAAATTTACTAACCCACCCTTCCACTTCCTCATCCAAGTCATTTGTAAAGATCACAAAGAGCAGAGGTCCCAGAACAGATCCCTGCGGAACACCTCTGGTCACCGAGCTCCAGGGTGAATACTTTCCATCTACTACCACTCTCTGTCTTCTGTTGGACAGCCAGCTTTGTATCCAAACAGCCAAATTTCCCTGAATCCCATGCCTCCTTACTTTCTGAATGAGCCTACCATGTGGAACCTTATCAAATGCCTTGCTTAAATATATATACATCACGTCCATTGCTCTGCCTTCATCAGTGTGTTTTGTCTCATCTTCAAAGAATAAGGCTTGTGAGGCGTGACCTGCCCCTCACAAAGCCATGCTGACTATTTCTAATCAAACTGTGCTTTTCCAAATAATCATAAATACTATCTCTCAGAATCCGCTCCAATAATTTGCCCACCACAGAAGTAAGACTGACCGGTCTGTAATTCCCAGGATTATCCCAGTTCCCTTTCTTGAACAAGGGAATGACATTTGCCACCCTCCAATCATCTGGTACTACTCCAATGGACAGTGAGGATGCAAAGATCATCACCAAAGGGGCAGCAATGTCTTCCCTCGCTTCCCGTAGTAACCTTGGGTATATCCCATCTGGCCCAGGGGACTTATATTTTCCTCATGTTTTCAAAATTTCTAGCACATCCTCCTTCCTGACATCAACCTGTTTGAGCATATCTGCCTGTTTCATGCTGTCCTCACAAAGATCAAGGTCCCTCTCACTGGTGAATACTGAAGCAAAGTATTCATTAAGGACCTCCGCTACCTCCTCTGACTCCACGCACAAGTTCCCTCCATTATCCCTGATTGGCCCTACCCTCACTCTGGCCATCCTCTTGTTCCTCACCTAAGCATAGAACACCTTGGGGTTTTCCTTGATCTTACCCGCCAAGGTTTTCTCATACGCCCTTCTAGCTTTCCTAAGTCCATTCTTCAGTTTCTTCCTGGCTACCTTGTAGACCTCTAGAGCCCCGTCCGAACCTTGCTTCCTCAACCTTAAGTAAGCTTCCTTCTTCCTCTTGACTTGATGTTC